CTGTTGATTTCTTGTAAGCTTCAGGACGTATTCTCGCAGCACAGGTGCTGAATGTTTTTTGCTATTCCACAGCTCGCAGATTCAGTGCACAGTTCGTATGGCTGCTTTTGAAAGTGTTTACATATTATCTGTGATGTTGCTGTGTTCTCGATTGCTTTTATTGTCACAGATGTTTAAAGCAAATTTTCAAAACTTTTGAATTTTAGATCATTTTTCCAATCGTTGTGTGTTATTGGATACTGTCTGCTACCTCCATTCGTAGCAGCAATAGTGTGTTCTCTCCTTCTTCATGGTCGTTTATTCATCCTCCGGCTACTAATTACAGCTATTGGGTTCTCATGGTCAACCTACGGTTTGTATTTTTCGTTTCTGTTTATATACTAAAATTTGCCTTTTTTCTTATTTCACCATGGAGACGGAGGTGTAGCGGCAAATAGCGCTGCATACCACCTACTCGATCCTTGAGTCAAGGTTTTTACCGGGAAAACAAAGCGTAAGATTTCCTCCAAGGCCGATCGATAGATGCCAGAATCGCCTGTTAGGACAAAACACAGATTAATATATCTGCTAGCGAATGTGTAATTATTTGTGCCAAACGAGGTTGTTAGATGGAACCTTTTTATTGGCCCGACGTTTCGACCTTCTCGTCTTCTTCAGAGGCCTGAAAATGGCTCGAAGCTTTTAATTTGTCACCTACCCGACCAAGCGCCTTCCCCACTCTAGCGTTTCCGACGTCGTGTCCCGAACCCGGTAATAACTGCGCACTACTCACCGAGGTTCCACCGTGCGGAGCCTAGCTCACGCTATGTGTCAGTAGGTTAAATAATAAGGGCGAATGAGTCCCACTAGAGTGTCATAGTGTCACATAAGTCAAAATTGTGACAATTTATGACAATTGTGATTGGGGATCTTTTTGGGAGGTTATTATTCTTTTAGGTGCGGAGCTTTTGAGGAATGGTAAGTAGCATGCAAAGGCAATGTTCCTAGTTGCAACCTGAATAATTCCCCGTTCGTGAAATATTTCGGATGGGTTTCGGATAGGCTAGGGGTAAATCGCAAGCGGGTTTTTATGCTTCACACGAGGATTACTTATTTCGAACGCAATTTCATCAGGACCAAAACCCTCTTCAAAGCACCCTATCTTTTCTCTTTCCAATAAGCTTTACAGTTTTCCTGAAGACCCGCTAGTTCAGGAGATATTTTAGATGGGTTACCAACGCGCTAGTCTCTGAGCCACTCAAAAGTTGGACTCCTTCCGTGCCATCATGAGGATACTCATTCAAGAACTCCAATATGCCTTCAAAACACATATTCCCACTCAAATGAGAGCCCGGTTATCATCGATGGATTTGGTCCGAGTGTGCGCCGTGCACTACGCTTCTACGCAGAGATGGTGGAAAGGTGTAACTTCTGATTTTAGGTGATTTTTGTCCATGCAAGCAGATTTTTG